TTGGCAATAGTCTTAGGATTGCCCTGGAGATCATACCTCTTAGGGCTGTACAAAGCTATGGTCCCTGATTCGATTCGGCAGAGATTCGGCCTGATTTGGTGGCCAGATCTCTGAACTGAATCAGGAGACTCTTTAATCTCTCCGAATTGAACTGGAACCCTCTGAATTGATTTGTAGAGATTCAGAAAGATTCAGAGATTCAGACATAGATGCAGCTTTAAATGTTTTTTCTACACACTTCTAGGTAGCAGGGGCTCATGAGTGCTACGATGCTGGGGCGCATGGAGTGTCCCACTGTAATTTCCTGTGCCTTTCACCTGTGTGTTGAGTCTGTGTGGATTTTTCTGGCTTTGTCATTGCTTTAAGGAAGGAACAAACTTGTTAATGGAATGGACATGTGTCTCAGGTACAACAAGCAAAACAATCCAGGAACCGTGCCTGCGGGACCCGGCAAGGACAGATACAAAAGGAAAAATAAAAATGGTTACTTACCTGTAGGGGATATAACACTGGAGGAGTGGAGGAGAGAGCCTGCATGGTTCATGAGCTGCGCCTTTATTCAATTAAGACCAGCGGGTGACGTCAGAGGGAATCACCAGCTGGCAGGAATAAAGACAGGTACCGGCAGAGAAGCCGGGGGAGCAAGAGAGGTGGCAGAGGCTCCTCAAGCTGGTAGCATGCTGCGCCGGCGCAATCAAAGGCAACCCGGGCAGGGAGTGGCAGCAGAGGCTGTGGGAGCTCCCTCCCTGCACTGGTAGAAATAAAATCAAACCCCGGACGGGGGAGAGAGCTCAGGGCAACAAGCTCCGAACACCACTGAGGGAACGTGGCGTTGGAAGCTCCGGTTGGCGGAGAGACAAGGACAGAGACCCGGGGAGAGAGGTTGCAACCGACCCTGGGGATATGGAAGCTCATCTTCCCGGTTGCTCCCAGGTATTGGGCTGTGAAGACAGGCTGGGGATAAAGAAGGAAGGGAGACATCGGGGGAGCGAAGTCAGGAAGAACCTTGCTGGGTACAGGCAGGAGAGCTGAGCAGATTGAATCCTATGACCCTAGAGTTGCGGGTTTTTTTTCTTTTTCCCTTTTGTTTTCTTTCATTGGTGCAAGGGTGTCCGAATAGGCCTCAGGATCAGACCCTGCCAGTAGCAAGGGACTCTGGACACAGAGGCCAAACTAATTTGCCATCCCATTCACAGGAAGTGAGGGGACAATAGCCTAGAGCCTCGAAGAGGCGATGAAGCTTGGGAAACCCATGCTGGAGGAATGACCGCCTTAAGACTCGGTGTCCCGTCAGATGTTGGTGCAAGGTTTGGGGTGTAGGGGAGGTGGAGCGCCATAAACAGTCGGCTAGCGGTGCGATCACTCCTGAGGATCCTCCGGAGGCTACTCTCTCCACTGGTCATAGAATCATAGAATCAATGAGTTGGAAGGGACCTAGACAGATCATTGAGTCTGACCCCCCGCCATGGGCAGGAATGAGCACTGGGGGTGGCAGGGGTCATAAGACCCCAGTCAGGTGCCTATCCAGTCTCCTCTTGAAGATCTCCAGGGAAGGTGAGAGCACCACCTCTCTGGGCAGCCTATTCCAGGCTCTGGCTACCCTTACTGTGAAGTAGTTCTTCCTAATATCTAACCTAAACCTATCCTCCCTCAGCTTGTGGCCATTGTTCCTGGTGACTCCAAGGGGGGCCCTGGTGAACAGACTTTCCCTGAGTCCCTGCTGCTGGCCCCTCATAAGATTGTAGGCAGCCACAAGATCCCCCCTCAGTCTCCT